AATAAATAAATCTGCTTGTCAGAAGGTCGGAAAAGGGGGGGGGGTTATAAATGTGAACCAGTTGCCAAATTGGTCAAATTTTCATCATGTGACTATGGGGCTGCTGTAACAGTTGTACAGTAGTGGCCAAAATTGTGGAAATCTTTTTGGGAAAAGTGTCTTTTTGAGGTTTGATGGCTAATAACGCCACTTTTTTTTTTTGAGTTTCAAGATAATCCTCTTCCATTGCTGGGCTGGCCTGGGAATAGCCCAGACCTTCTTAACCCAACGGAAAATCTATGGAGCCGGATAAAAAAACTTGTTAGTCAAAAGCGACCCAGCAATATTTTTATGTTGTTGTTTTTTTCTTTTCTTTTTTAAAATTTTAATCTAAAATAAAACTTAAAAAAAAAAGCGACCCAGCAATAAAACCCAGTGAATAGACGCCATCATTCAATCTTGGTTTCACATGATAACAGCTGCAGAACTAAAAGATTTGGTTCACTCCGTGGGAAGACGTTGTAAGGCCGTAATTCATGCTAAAGGTTACCCAACTAAGTATTAACTGACATGGTGATCATTTTTGTATATCTCGTTTTTTCTACGTGTTTCACTTTTCTTCTTTATACTGTAACTGCTATTCTAATAGCAAGTCCTTCATAAATTACATTCAAACATTACATTCTTGATTAAATTCTCTTTCCATTGATATATAATTTTATCGTACTACTCCCTCCCCTAAAAAAAGTGGTGTTATTAGCTAGTTTAGCTAGTAACCCCTACGGCAGAGGATCACTAGTATTGTTAGTACAGAGTGTATCTGAGGCAGTAGATGGTGTACTGTCATATGATCTATCTATATTTGTAAAATATACTCCCCTTCTATGTGTATTTTAATTTGGTCTTTGACCGCAATAAAAGCTTACTTACTTACTAGTTTTAGAAAATATACTTTTCCAAAAATGAGCAAATTGACATTTGAAATTAGAGAACAAGATGATAAACAATACTATAAGATATGGGACCTATTTTATCAATGGTTAGATAAAAAAATATGGAAATGAAATATGGTAGAGATCTTCACAATACAAGAATTGTAGAACTATGTGAAATATAACATAAAGATGTATTATTATTGGATAGATTCAGGAGGACGAAATGAATGTTATAATAAAAATTAACTCAAATCTTAGAATATTTTGAATAATAATGAGGGAAGAAATAGCTATAGCCAAATAAATGATTAATGAGGATAATAATATATAGATATATATTAGGTCGATGATATGAGAATTTAGGTAAACTGTAAATTGTAAGCTATGAATTTAGTGAATGATGCACAAAAGATTTGTAACCAATCGACACACTGTTTGCAATTGAAGATGGTTTTATGTATGTTTGTTTAAAATTTTTTAAAGAATTAAAAAAAAAGAAAAGAAAAGAAAAGAAAATACACTTTTCCCAAAAGGTTTCCACAATGTTGGCCACTAATGTAGGACAGTCTGTGCAAAGAACTTTATTTTTTGCACCGATTCTCTGTAATACAAGGAACCCCATCCTCTACACACACATACACACAAACACACACACACACCATGCATTCTCTGAGTAGGCCTCCGGGACTCACACTCCATTCAAGTCACGATGCAGTGGAGCCAACTGCATTCACTTCAATGAAGGGAAGCCATGATGTCACTTGCCTCCATTGAAACTCCTGGTGTCACTCACTCTGACAGCCCCCTCTGGGACAATCACAAGTCTGAAAGGGGTTTTTGGCTGTGTGTTATTCTCTGGAAAACCAGGGTTGTTGTTGTTGCTTCACAAAGTTTAATTAAAAGCATCTTTTGCTTTGAAGCATCGCTCAAGCACTCTTCCTTGCATCTTTGCAGCGTTCCCAATTCCAGTGTGTTAACACAAGGCTGAAACTCTTTATCCTGGAAATTTCTTAATTGCACCGGGTAATGGTGGTGTTTCTCAGGGATTATTGACAGAGGAGGGAAGAAGTTTTAAGCAACAAGAACCCAACTGGTGTATATGGGTACAAAGAAGGAATCCCTGGGCTATCAGACTCCTGAATGCAAAATACCATCGTAACTACATAGTATGATGGACTTGCAGGGCCGGTGCAACGTGTAACATGTTCACACTGGGGCAATAGGACTGGGGGTTTCGTTAATATGATTTATTGGGTTAGGGATTTTCTGTTTCCAATGTGAGTTGTATTGTGTTGAAGGTGGGGGGGGGCACTAAGGGAGCTCCCGTCAATCTCATTGTACATATGTTGTGCAGTGACAATAAAGGTTATTATTAAGGTAGTGCCCCAAAAAACCATCTAGAGCTTTTAAAAAGATTATATCCATGGCCTAAACTCATGTTTCGAATTTCACTCGAGAACATAAAGATCCTTCGAGATTTGGCTATCCCTGTGATCTGTGGCTATTTTAAATTATATTTTAAAATTCAGGCGTCTTATCCAGGTTAATAAGACCACAGTTATATTAGAACCTGTTAGTATTCCATGGAACCTCTGCCAACAGCTGGACAGAAAAGTGGGAACTTCCTAAACCAGTGTTTCTCAGCCCCAGCAACTTTTAAGATGGTGAACAACTCCCAGAATTCCCTCGCCAGGTTGGCAGGAGAATTCTGGGAGTTGATGTCCTTAAAGTTTGCTGGGGGCTAAGAAACACTGTTCTAAGGCTAAGATAAGGGCTGTGTTACTCTCCATTCATTCTTCTGAATCAAATCTTTGAATTATTGAATGAAATCAAAATAGATGCCTTCAGAATGATTTTTTTTTTTAAAAAAAACACACCTTGGTTGCCATTCAGAGGCTGAAGGGAATTTTGTACTTATGCAAACAGGCTATTTCTGATTGGAGCCCAAAGAATTGCAAATCCCGGCTGACTCATTTTTTTTGTTAAAAAAACAACAACTGTGCAGTTGAATTGGATTGATTCGACTTCAAGCTTTCAGATTCAAAAGGTGGTGTTGCACAATTTTAGAATTTTAGAACGGAATGTTTTGGAAGTGGGGCTGAATTAAGAGCTATAGCAATTCTTCTTCTTCTTGTGCCGTGTCCGTCATCGGACATTGGCGATCATGTAAACTTCAATACTCCTTTACAGCGGTCTCTGGGTGGTTTACAATGCCAGCATATTTTCCCCAACAATCTGGATCCTCATTTTACCAACCTCGGAAGGGTGGAAGGCTGAGTCAACCTTGAGTCGGTCAGGATCGAACTGCTGACAGTCGGCAGAGTTAGCCTGCAATACTGCATTCTAACCACCGCATATCCATGGCGCAAGAGCTGGGGAATTCTATGAGTCGAAGTCCACACATCTTAAAGTTGCCCAGGTTGAAAAACAGAAATCTAACAATCCCAGACAGAGCGCTCCTTACCTGTGTATTCAGGGAAGCAGATGGTCAGAGGTGATTTTTTTATCTTCTCACCAAACAGGTCTTTCTTGTTGAGGAAGAGAATGATGGAGGTATCAATGAAGAATTTGTTGTTACAGATGGAGTCAAAGAGCATTAAAGACTCGTGCATGCGGTTCTGCATCGGAAAGAAAGAAGGAGGCGGTGGAAGAGGAGAAAAAAGGGGGATTGGAGAGAGAGAGAGAGAGAGAGAGAGAGAAACCAAGTTAAGCTTAAGAGAAAAGAACAATGGCCAAGCCAGCAGTGAAAATACCGAAGTTAAAGAACCCTGTTGGATGAATTATCATTTAGGATGCAGAAGAAGGAAGAGAATCAGAGGTTAATTTCATTTGGGTTTTGTCCCCGTCTTCATGCTGCTATCTCTCTCTCTCTTTTTTTTTTTTGCATTACTTTGAGCATGTAATTCAGGTTTAAAAAAAAAAGATGAGGTCATGGCTGCCACTGTTTGGAAGTCCTAATGCTTTCTTCCTAGTTTTCTTGCTCCTTTAAGTCATCCAGAAAATTCACCTCGCGCGATAGAGTTGGTGAGAATAAGAAAGATGATACACCTAGTTGAGGAAGTGAAAAAAGTCAGAAGTCGCTGTTTTCTTATCCTTTTTATCTTCTGCATTTATCTATCATCTATCTATCTATCTATCTATCTATCTATCTATCTATCTATCTATCTCTTTCCTGTCATTCTTTCTTTCTTTCTTTCTTTCTTTCTTTCTTTCTTTCTTTTTCTTTCTTTTCTTTCTTTCTTTCCCTTTCCTGTCTTTCTTTTCTTTTCTTTCTTTCTTTCCCTTTCCTGTCTGTCTTTTCTTTCTTTCTTTCTTTCTTTCCTTCCCGTCCCTCCCTCCCTCCCTCCCTTCCCTTCCCTTCCCTTCCCTTCCCTTTCTCTATTTTTGTTTCTTTCTTTTTCTTTCTTTCTCTCTCTCTCTTTCCCTCCCTCCCTCCCTTGATATTTCTTTGTGTTTGTACTTTAACTCACAATAAACTCCAATTTTTTAAAAAAACAGACTTATTTCAGTGGTGTAGTCATAGCTTTTTTGATCTTCTGCTAGTTACCTCCCTTTCTTCCTCTATGCTATTCTGTATTCTTTAAATTCTTTACATCTTTATAAAAAATTTTCAAATCTCTATGTGCACTCTTCTCTTTCTCAGGAAACTGTTAGGATGAACAATTTCCTTAGTAAGAAGTGGTGTAGACATGTTCCGCTATATTTTTACATATGAATTTCCTCCCATCTGTCTTTGTTAGTTAAAGGTGAAGGAGCCTCTGCAGTTTTTACTCCGCTAGTTGTTGTTGATTCTACGGGGTGGTGCATTTCTATGGTCATTTCTATGGTCATGTGGCTAGTAATGGATGTCACGGAGCGTCGTTACCTTCCCACCAAAGTGGTACCTATTTATCTACTTGCATTTGCATGTTTTCAAACTGCTAGGTTGGCAGGAGCTGGGGTGAGGACGGGAGCTCACTCCATCGCATGGCACTCGGGTCTCAAACCTGGACTGTCGGTTTTCCAGCCGACAAGTCCAACCCCTTAACCTCAAGCCATCGCACCGCCCTGTACTTTGTAGAGGGAAATCCAATAAAGTGTCTCGGACACTAGAAAATAGCTGGCACTTTATTAAAGATTTGGTAACTAATAAATACATGACAGCCAATAAATTATTACAATAAGAATCAAAAGAACTCTCGGACTGGACTGAGGCTCATTCACACATCATACAAAATGATCATTAAAACCGTTGTGGCTGATCCAACATGGAAAAAAAAATCGGAATAAAAAGATTCTGCAGCTAATTTGCAAACATAAAGGAGAGGTTCAGCAAACTCCCGTCTCCTTCAAAACTCTTATCTCTGTAAAGCATTTTAAGCAGCCAGCAGGAAAAAAGAAAGAAAAAAGAGGCATGATAGGAAAAAAAAAAAAGGAAATATCAAGAAGACTGGATAATATATTACAGGGTTGCATAGGACTCTCCAGATTGGCTCCAGACCCATTATTATTTTTTTATTGCGACAGAAAGGGAAAATCATTAAATACATGTAGATCTAAAGATACCTTTGTGTTGCGCTCAACTCCCTGGAAAGTCATGGGCACATCCAAACAATTTCCTTGCCAGCCATATATTTTATTTATTGATCTAATGATGCTCATAACCCATTCCATTTCCAGGAAACTCTGGATGGTAGAGGATAACAGCCACCATTATAAACATACTTTGCCATTGATTTCTACCTGCACCCTTTTCCCTTCTTTTTCTACAATAGTGGCCACAATTGTGGAAAAGTGTATTTTTGAGGTTTGATGGCTAATAACACCACTTTTGTTTGGAGTTTAGAGATAATCATATTCTACTGCTGGAATGGCTTGGGAATAGCCCAGACCTTCACCCAATTGAAACTCTATGGAGCCGACTAAAGAAACCTGTTAGTCAGAAGCGATCCAGCAATAAAACCTGGTTAATAGAAGCAATCCTTCAATCTTGGTTTCACATTATAATAGCTGCAGAGCTAAAGGACTTGATTCACTCCATGGGAAGACATTGTAAGGCTGTCGTACATGCTAAAGGTTAACCGACGTGATAATTTTTGTACATCTCGTTTTTTCTATGGTGATCATTTTTGTATATCTCTATTTTTTCTACGTGTTTCACTTTTCTTCTTTATACTGTAACTGCTATTCTAATAGCAAATCCTTCATAAAAGTTATTGTATTACATTCTTATTTAAATTATCTTTCCATTGATATATAATTTTATGCTACTCCAAAAAAAAAAAAGTGATGTTATTAGCTAGTTTTAGAAAATACACTTTTCCCAAAAGATTTCCAGAATTTTGGCCACTACTGCAATTTGCAGCCCTGGAATTCTCTGAATGTCTCCCATCAAAGGCCCAACTGGCCGGATCCTATTTAGCTTCAGAGCTCAGCAAAAGGTTGGTCAGATGCTCCCACTTGTTGAGACACCTATCGATAAACCCGATAAAAAACAGTTTCCAGGGTATAATCTCTAAATCTCTGATCAAACAATTTGGGATGGCCAATGTCGGAATCCCATCGAATTATTCAATATTGCCAAAAATCAGGAACGAGATTTTCTGCCTTTTTAAGGTGGAAAACAAAGTAAAATTGTAACACAGACGTTCTGCTAGATCAAATGTTTTTCAATAAAATGACAAAAAGCAGCGTTGGGCTGATGCACCTTGATGCATGCAAAAAAGGGCTGGAGGTTGTGGCATGATGCTGCTTGCATCATGTGCCCCCCTCACTCCTCCTACCACTATAGCATAACCCCAAGTAGGTTGTCAAGTTTCGAGGTCGTCTCAAATAAATTGCATTTCAAACAAAGTCTTTGAAGAAAACTCCCATTTATTAAGCACGACATTCAAAGCGCGACTCATCGTAGCCAAACACTGACTTCCAGACCCAAAACTCTCCCTTTCCGTTCCCCATTCCCCTGCACTCATTGGCCATCTTCCAAGTCACTCTACCCCTATCTACTGCTCCACTCAAAGGAATTTCCCCCCTCCCATCCCATCTCCTAGGGGATATTATCTCCAGGGAAAATAAGTAGGTGAAAAGTCAAACATCCCTTTCCAGATGCCTCCGCTCCTCCTTCTTATGTCAGCACTAGAGTAGATGCAGCTTGAAGTGCTGAAATAGGTTTAATGCAGTCAAGCAACAAAGCTCCCTTGCGTCCCTGTTACAAACTAGGAAATGCAAGGGATTACAGCAGAGGTCCCCAACCCCTGGTCTGGGCACTGGTCCGTGGCCTGCCAGAAACAGGGCAACACAAACAAACGAAGCCCCATCCGTGGGATGCAGGCAGCACATGAAACTATGGCCCCTCCAGTCCACGGAAAAACCTCTCTCCACGGAACCAGTTCCTGATGTCCAAAAGATTGGGGACCACATCACTGGATTACAGGGTCGTTAAAAGAAAAAAAAGTCACATAAATCACAACTTGCTGGCTTCACACACCACACAAACCTATAAATAGGATGGTGATGGCGAATCTATGGCATGCATCAGATCTCCATGGCGTTTGTTTTGTGAGCTTCTGTTTCCCTGCAAACAACAAAACGGAAGGTCACGAAAGAAAAAGATCTTACTTCTCACCACGCTGCCGGTGTTGGGATGCCCCACCTCTCTCCAGCCAGCAGGTCTTCGGGTCTCTACTGCACATGCACGCATGTTTTTGCATGTCTGCGTGCATGTCCATGCATGTCCGTGTATGCACACGTGTGCATCTTTCAGTTTGGGCATGTACGCACATGCAGTTTGGGCAGTCAGTGTCTAAAACAGGGGTCTCCAACCTTGGCAACTTTAAGCCTGGAGGACTTCAACTCCCAGAATTCCCCAGCCAACACAGCTGAAGTCCACCAGGTTTAAAGTTGCCAAGGTTGGAGACCCCTGGTCTAAAAGGTTCACCATCACTGAACGAGAGTTTATGGACCACATGGGTGGATTCTAGACTAAAAAGGAAAGAAGTTACATTATGACTTACAGTGATGGATTAAGGCAGCCTTGATATATAGCCTCAATTATATCTTCGTGCCGAAGAAAAATTGAAAAAGAGATCCCTAAGGTACGAAAAGGCCAAATAGTCATTTGTTTTACATCACCCTCTCCTTACAAGGGGCTACATCAGGGGTGAAATACTCCCGGTTCGGACCGGATCGCCTGATCCAGTAGCGATGGAGGCGGGTGGTTCGGAGAACCGGTAGCAAAAATCCCTGCCCCCCCCCATGCCCAACTGAGCCACACGATCATCAGAGGCTTTTTTTTTATTTTTAAAAGCATTTTTTCTACAACCTCTTGGGCTGAAGAGGTTATAGAAAAAATGCTTTTAAAAGTAAAAACAAAGCCTCTGCCAATCAGGCAAGTCAGCTGGGATCGTCAGAGGCTTTAAAAGCATTTTTTAAACAACCTCTTCACCCAAAGAGGTTGTAGAAAAATGGTTTTAAAAGTAAAAAAAAAAAAAAAAAAGTTGGCCATGCCCACTCAGTCATATTACCCCCCCCCACCAAGCCACGCCCACAGAACCGTTAGTAACAAAATTTACATTTCACCACTGGGCTACATACAACATGTTATGCAGGCACAGGGAGTAAAATCTCTCTTGGAATGTTCCACACTTTGCAAAACATCTTCCCATTTTGACAGTCACTATTAAATAGGATTGCGGGATATGTTATCCACGGCGAGGCAGTGGTGGGTTGCTCCCGGTTCGGTCCTGTTCTTGCGAACTGGTAGTATCGGTGGCAGGAGGCTCCGCCTACCCGCCTGGACGTCATCATGAACAATCTGTGCATGCTCCCGTTACGAACAGGTAGCGGAGGTAAGTAAAACCCATTCCTGGGGTGAGCATTGTATTACCAAGCAAGCTTTTAACCGTTAACACAAACTGTCTCGTCGTCAGCCCTTCTCTGCAGTGCAGAGATAATAAAAACCCAGCAATTTACTGCTTTGAGGCTCAGTTTGGCGTCATAGGTATTTGTTACAAGCCACCGTGCTGCCATAATGAGATGCGCACAATGATATCATTCCTACCGACGATGTCAGTAGGCAATTCACATCAGTTGAGTCACGATATGAGTTGTTTGGTGCCGATGATGTCACGCAGTGCAATTTGTCATTTGTTTTCTCTTCAATGTGGCACAACAATCAATTCTCTGCTAATGAGCTACAAATATCACCAACATTAATAAGACCTTCAGGGGCATAGAAAGCAATGTAAGATGGCCACAGACAGTGTAAGATGGTTACTGCAACACTGTAGCTCGTCGCACCATGAGAGCTGTCAAAAGCCTCACAACCTCACCTAAACCCACATTTTAAAGCTCACGTCTCATTTAAACGTCAGAATTCAAAGTCATTGGGCTGCAGAAGTCAAGCAGATGTTCTTAAGGGTGTCAATATTGCATTTCTACAATAGCTGTTTCACATTCTTTATGGCAAACGCATTTGTGCATAGCCACAATGTTTGAGTCCAGAGCAAGCATTTCCCTTCCCGTTATATTTTGGCACGGATTTCCTTGGCTTATGACCACAACTGAGCCTAAAATTTCCGTTGCTAAGTGAGACATTCGTTAAGTGAATTTTGCCCCATTTTACGACCTTTCTGGCCACAGTGGTTAAGTGAATCACTGGATCACACGGTTGTTAAGTGAATCTGACTTCCCCCTTGATTTTGCCAAATCCCACTCCTGGCTGGTCTCGCCCACCCCATCCCTCCCAGGAGTCCCCATGTGGCCCATTTTGGATGCAGGTAAATGCAAGCTGTGTGCGGAGGCTCAGGGAGGGTGAAAAATGGGCCTATCGGAAATTCGGGAAGCTCCAGGGGGCCTCCACAGCCTGGAGAGGCCGTTTTCGTGTTCCCAGAGGCTCGAGGAAAGCCTCCGGAGCCCGGGGAGGGCAAAAATGCACCCCTGTGGTGCAGGAGGCCACGCCTACCATGGCCACGCCCACCCAGCAACCGGGCAATGACCCTCTTGCTAAAATTTTTGAACTGTTTCTGACAGTGTTGGTTTTCAGGAAATAAGTGTGTTAGGAATTGGGGGGAAACTACAGTTTAGATTGGAAGAAAAATGGCAGATTTGTAGAGGAGAATTTCTGAATTCTGCTCGAGTCCCGAAAAAGTTAAGATTCTGATCACATTAAAAAAAAAAAGGGCTGCAAGTTTCTAACCCTTCACATTGTGGGCAGAGCTTTAAAAAAAATCTAGAAATAGTGACTTAGGTAACCATGACTCTATGAAGACTTTTCAGAAACGAAGCGATTATTTCTCCATCCTGCCCTTTTCCCTCTGTCGCAAATGGAGAATCAATTAGGCAGACCAGCCACACAGATAATGAGGTATGCTACACAGAATGAAACAATAGCAATAACATAAATGCATCATTGCAAGTTCGGACAGACCAGGTTGGGGACAGACTATCCTGGGGGGAAAAAAAATCTATTTATATGGTTGCTAAAAGTCAAAACCAATTTAACAGCACACAACTAAACATCCATCAGTCAGCAATCTCTTCAAGGTTGTGTGATTTATACATTGCAACATTGATCTTTCTTGTTACTGCATTCCTGGAATACAGAATGATAGCATCCTTAAAGACCCTGTTGTTCCACCAGGCCGGGCTATCAACATAATAATTTTAAATTGGGTGTTTGAAATTTCTGGGGTTTTAAATTGAGCCGAATTATTTAATAATTTTAAATTATTTTAATCGATGTTTGTCTTGTGCTTTTAATAGGCTGTACACCGCCCTGAGTCCTTCGGGAGAAGGGCGGTATAGAAATAAAATTATTCTTATTCTTATTCTTAAAGCATGCAATATGGACCAGAGGTGGGTTTCAGCTGGTTCTGACCAGTTCTGGAGAACCTGTTGTGGAAATTTTGAGTAGTTCGGAGAACCGGTAGTAAAAATTCTGACTGGCCCTACCCCCATCTATTCTCTGCCTCCCAAGTCCCAGCTGATCAGGAGGAAATGGGGATTTTGCAGTATCCTTCCCCTAGAGTGGGGTGGGAATGGAAATTTTACAGTATCCGTCCCCTGCCAGGCCCACCAAGCCACACCCACAGAACCGGTAGTAAAAATTTTTGAAACCCACCACTGATATGGACGCTTTTCATATGAATATTATAGATTAATTCACATTTGCAGAAGGCACTCGTGTTGAAGACGCCGACTATTTCTTTGTGAGCGTGACTCCTTGGAGAAGCCCTTTGTCACTCAGTACTGATTTACTGGTAAATAGGGAAGCTTGCTTGCAAAAGGTGAAGAGAAAAAAAAAATAACCCAGTGTGTCCTGTTTGTTGTGGTTACTCATCCCTGCAGAGGGCAATTATACAACAATGAACTAAGAATATTGCTAAGTTTAACAGGAGCATGTCTCTATTTGCAGATTAATTAACCCTCCCTCTTTTTGTGGCAAAAGATAGAATGTCCTGTTGAATTGCTTTGAGATTAAGACAGTAATGTAGCTTCCTCCAATGTCCACCCCTATGACATGCCATTCTATGGGAGAAATTCTACGGCATGAATTTCTAGAACAGGGGTCTCCAAACTTGGCAACTTTAAGACTGGGAGTTGAAGTCCATAGGTCTTAAAGTTGCCAAGTTTGGAGAATCCTGTTCTAGAACATTCCATGCTACAGGAGGCTATTGTCAGGGTTTCAATGAATGCCCTAATTAAATCAAGAGCCTCGAGCCAAGCTTCAAAAGAAATCCAGTTATTTATTAGGAGCTTCATGTCAGCACGTTCCCAAATGAAACCAACTCTGACCCCCACATAATTTACAGCCCCAATCATAACCTTGTTTCCCCCCTCTCCCCAGGGTGTATCATCAATCACATTCGCCAACGGAGCAATTTCACGGGTGGTAGAGATCACTCCCCTCCGGTCACTGTGGGTAACCCTGGGAGACAGCCTTGAAAAAAATATCTCTGAAATGTGCTTCTGTCTTTGGCTGCAATGCTGCTTTGTCGGTTTCCCATCCTCCTTGCCTATGGCAATTTGAGAACAGGCCACGGATGCTTTGCGAGTTGACAGCTATATTAAGATTTTAAAAGCCAAAGATAAGGAGATGCTTTAAGATTGGGAAACACTGCAAAAATTTATATGCCAGTCTTGACTTTGGGATTTCCACCAAGGCATTGATTTAGGATTCCCCGTCAATGTGCCTGGGTAAGATAAGTAGAATTTTACTATATGCAAATATTTAAGGGTAGAAAGAGCTTGTGTTGTAGCAATCTAGTGCATTTTTTCGGCGATGGTTAGACGAGACGTCCCTGCAAAAATTATTGCAGACGGATTAGGTGCCCTCCAAAAATGCTGAGATTGCACCTTCCCAAATTCCCAAGCAGAATGGGTCAACAATCACATCATTTCATACATTTGGAAGGTACCAAATCCATGTTTTTCACATTGGCCGACTTCTAAGATGTGTGGATTTCAAATCCCAGAATTCCTGAGCAAGCCACGAAAATCAAAATCCCCCAGAATTCCCTCTGCTGGCTGGGAAATTCTGGGAGTTGACGTTCACCCAGTTTAAAGTTGCTAAGGTTGAGAAATAATAATAAAAAAACCCCACCCTAAAATTATTGCAAAGATGTTCCAGGTAAACCGAACGTCCACTTATCCTTCACAGTAAGATCGGTGTAATTTCAGCCATTTTAAGATGTGTGGGCTTCCTGATGGCTGAGGGATTCTGGGAGTCCACACACCTTAAAAGTGTCTGAGGCTGAGAAATACTGCCCTAAGTAGAGTTACAATCGAATTCCAAATCTTTTAATTTAGGCTTTCATTCAGAGAAGTATCGGATGTGAATTTGCTTCAAAGCACAAATAAACACATTTCTTTTACAGCTCTGAAAATATCCAATAGGAATATTCTCAAAATATTACCCACCTGTACGACTAGACTTTTCCCAGTTGCAATGGATGGCTGTGAAAGTTGGCCCATTAGAAAGACTGAGTGGCAAAGAATTGAGGCCTTTGAACTCTGGTGCTGGAGAAGACTCCTGCGAGTCCCTTGGACTGCAAAGCGATCCAACCGGTCAGTCCTAGAGGAGATCAGCCCTGACTGCTCTTTAGAAGGCCAGATCCTGAAGATGAAACTCAAAAGACTTTGGCCACCTAATGAGAAGGAAGGACTCACTGGAGAAGAGCCTAATGCTGGGGAAGACTGAGGGCAAAAGAAGAAGGGGTTGACAGAGAACGAGGTGGCTGGATGGAGTCACTGAAGGAGTCGGCGTGAGCTTAAATAGACTCCAGAGGATGCTAGAGGACAGGAAGGCCTGGAGGAACATTGTCCATGGGGTCGCGATGGGTCGGACACAACTTCATGACTAACATTAAAAACAACGACTAGACAATGCTCCCTATTCAACGTCCACTTTTGCAAATACGTTGACAGTTGGCTTACATTAACACTTAGTCCATTGTATATTTTGGCTTAAATTAGGCAACAAAGATAAAAAGCAAAAATGAAACCCATCCATTCAGCATTACTCTTCAATAGTTAAGCCACTGATCCCCAGAGACATTTTCCAAGAACACGTAGAGTCCATTGTTCACGTTCTTCTCTCAAGCATCTACAATTGCAGTAATTTGAAGTTCCCAACCAAGTTTTTCATTTCATTTCTATTTATTTAAGTATTTAGAGGATGTATATTGCCGCCTGGCTCCCATAGTGGCTCATAAAAACAGAATAAAAATAGAACACCTCTTCTCACCTGGTGCCAGAACAACTGACTATCAAATTCCTGGCCCAACCCCATCAGAACCCCAGCATTAATTGAATAAAAGTAGAAGTTGATCACCTAGGTGTGAATTTCAGACTTAGTTTCAGAGTTAGGTTTCCAACAATACAGCATTTACATTCAACTCCCCTCTAGCTCAACTATGTTTTTGCCATTTTTTTGAATGTGGTTCCTTCTTTTTATGTACAATGAGAGCGTATGCACCAAGACAAATTCTTTGTGTGTCCAATCACACTTGGCCAATAAAAAATTCTCTTCTCTTCTCTTCTCTTCTCTTCTCTTCTCTTCTCTTCTCTTCTCTCCTCTTCTCTCCTGTTCTGTTCTCTTCTTCTTTCCTCTACTTCAGTCCAGGGGTGGTATTCACTTACCTACGCTACCGGTTTGCAAATGTGAGCGCACACGCAACCTCTGCACATGCACAGGACCTTCACGCATGCGCAGTGTCAAAAACGGGACGTGATGACGTCTGGGCGGGTGGGCGGAGCCTCCCTCAGTCGCCTCTACCGGTTCACCCAAACCGAATAGAACTGGCTGAATACCACCACGGCTTCAGTCTCTGTCTTGTCTTACTTATTTATTTTTCTTCCCGAATGCCCTTCCTTCTTTTTTATTCTTCCAAAGAAAGTCCATACAGTTCATTTGAATGCAGGCAGTCCTCGAGTTACAACCGTTCATTTAGTGACCGATTGAAGTTACAATGATATTGAAAAAAGTGACTGATGATCGTTTTTCCCAGTTACGACCGCTGCAGCATCCCCATGATCGTGTGATCAAAATTCGGATGTTTGGCAGCTGAGACATATTTATGACGGTTGCAGTGTCTCAAGGTCACTTTTGAGACGAGCAAAAGTCAACGGGGAAGCCAGATTCACTTAACAACCGAGTTACTAAGTTAACACCTGCAGTGTTTCACTTAACAACGGTGGCAAGAAAGGTCTTAAAATGGGGGGGTGGAAAATCACATAACTCTCTTGCTTAGCAAGAGTCATTTTGAACTCAATTTGTTGAAGACTCAATTATTACTTGTTCTTTTTTTTAAAAAAATTAACACTTCTAGTCTAATAATTAACAAAGCATTCCAAACTCTGCAGAAGATCCATAACAGATTCCTGAGGGCAGGCTCCTATTTCGTATCTTATCACTTCATCGTTTCTGCTCTCATCCCATTCCCCTAAATTCCATTAGCTGAAACAACTTTACATTATCTCGTGTCTCTAATTGGCAAGGGCAATCTGATGCCTTCAACGCATCTCTTGGAACATCTCTCCCATAATCCCCAGTTAGCACCACTAACGGTCAGGATGGTGGATTATGGGGAAATTGAGCCTGATACATACAGAAAGCATCCAATAAGAAGATATTTGTTTTTCTACCTGATAATTCAGATTCAGTTAAGATCTACCTGCCTTCCGTAGATGCATACAAACCTAGCATTCTTCTACGGTTTCAGGAAAGCCAGATAGTCATAAAATTAAGAGAATAATAAAGTTGGAAGGGACCTAGTCCAACTCCCTATTCAGGCAGGAAACTCTTGACCAGTTCAGGCAAATGGTTGTCCAATCGCTTCTTTAAAAACTTTTTTTAAAGTGATGGAGCACTCACAACTTCTGGAGAACTTAATCCATGACTTTCCACAGTAGGTTTTGCAACTGTTTCCTTCTGGCCTTTGAATGTGTCTTTTGCTACTTTTCCCATTCCAAAATCAACTTCCTTGGACTTTCTACTTGCCTTCGTTCAAACTGAGGAGTCCCCGGCATAACTCTTAGCTCCATTATCCGTCTCGCTTGGTTTTTCTTTCATCTATTTACTCCCACATTTCCCGCGATTTCCGATTGCCCTCTGCCTCATTCACACGGCACTTTTTGACGCTCTTGTCATCTCAAACCAGATTCCAACCTCCATTGCCTCTTCTTCACTCTGACTATCACAATACCTGATAAATCTAACTATGAGCCAGGAACACTGCCTTGGACCGTAATTCTGTTGGATATGGTGGTGAACCATCCTATTTATCTATTTGTTTGTACCGTGCCTTTATTACTTTAACTCAAAGCAACATATCCAACATGACTTCCTCCTTCTTGTTTGCCCAGCACAACAACCCTGTGAGGGAGCGTCGGGCTGAGAGAGACTGGTCCAAGGTAACCCAATCAGCTTTGATGTCTAAGGTGGGACTAGAATCACTGTCTCCTAGTGCAGGGATGGCTAACCTTTTTGCCATCGCGTGCCAGGAGCGGGGGTGGGGTGAGGTGTCAGCCGCGTGCATGCCCACACCCATAATTCTATGCACCCTGCCCCTGCACATGTGTGTGCGCGCTCCCCCACTCCCCCCACTCCTGGCACGCGATAGGATGGTAGGACTCCAGAGCCTTTCTAGGAGTCTGGGGAGGGCAAAAATGGCCTTCCCCATCCCCCTGGAGGCCAGAAATGGCCCGTTTGCCAACTTCTAGTGGGACCAGAAGGCCTGTTTTTTGCTCTCCCCAGCCTCCAGAGCCTTTCTAGAGTCTGGGGTGGGCGAAAACAGCCTCCCCCCACCCCCCGGAGCCCTCCAGAGACCAGAAATGGCCCGTTTGCTAACTTCCGGTGGGAGCTGAGCTCGTAGTGCCCACCGATATGGCTACGTGTGCCACCTGTGGCACGCGTGCCATAGGTTCACCATTGCGGTCCTAGTGATTGGCCCAAACTCACCCAATTGGCTTTCGTGGCTAAGGCGAGACTGGAACTCACAACCTCCTGCTTCCTAGCCTGCTATCTTCACCCCCAGGACCAAACTGGCTCTCCTTACTTCCTTTTCTCTACTCTACTTGATTGGCCTTGCTCCTTACCTTTCTAAAGAAGGAAGGTACACAAAGCTGGTTTCAAATTTAAAAGGATCCTGTGATGGGACCTTTGGTGTGCCCATCAAAATACACGGTCCCTTATTTATTTAATTTATTTATTTATTTATTTATTTATTTATTTATTTGGTTTATATGCCGCCCTTCTCCGGAGACTCAGGGCGGCTTACAAGGCGTTAAGCAATAGCCTTCATACTTTTGTATATTTATACAAAGTCAGCTTATTGCCCCCACAATCTGGGTCCTCAATTTACCTACCTTAGAAAGGATGGAAGGCTGAGTCAACCTTGAGCCTGGCGAGATTCGATCTTATTTTAATTGCAGACAGCTGGTGTTAAATTACAGAGCTCTATTTGTTGAGCTATCCAGGCTCCTTTATTTATTTATTGGTTCGATTTATATGCCGCCCTTTTCCGGAGAGTCAGGGCGGCTTACAATGCGTTAAGCAATAGCTTGCATACTTTTGTATATACCTGCTTAGTAGGGCTTTCGGCCCCCTCTAAGCGGTGTTCTTTTTTTATACAAAGTCAGCTTATTGCCCCCACAAACCGGGTCCTCATTTTACCTATCTCGGAAGGATGGAAGGCTGAGTCAACCTTGAGCCTGGTGAGATTTGAACTCGCAGTAATTGCAGGCAGCTGGTGTTACTTAACAGTGCTTTAGTCTGCTGCGCCACCAAGGCTCTTATGTCATCCTTATTTCTTTCCATGAAAAATGAAATCTTTGCTTGGCAGACTGTGTTCTTTGTGAACCTCTCATTCAGCTGCCCAGAGGTGTGTGTGTGTGTACTATAAGATGGGTGGTTATAAGTTGTGGGAGCTCCATTACTGGAGGTTTTCAAAAAGAGACTGGACAGCTATTTCTTCAGGATGGTGTTAAGTTAAGGAGGTTAGACTAGAAGACCTCCAAGATCCCTTCCAACTCTGTTATTTCAGTTTATATCAGGAATGTTGGACACATTCATGATGTAAACCTATAGTTCCAGTTTCATGTTTTCTGAAAAAGGCACATTACTCCGGCAGGGTGCTAGAAAGATATTTTGCTAGACAAGCCCAACAATTATCCGCTTCCAATGAATAAATGGGAAAAAAAAGAAAGAATTCTGAACCACAGTGAGAATGAGAGTGGAAAACACAACCTTCTCAAGATGAGGACAACTCTGATCCTGGGAGTTAAAACGGAGCAGGCTGCTCTTTTATCCGATTTAAGACTTGGCCACTGATTGTCTAGTCCTTAAATGTGTGGATCGGGTATGTTTTGCTTGAACGGCAAAAATGAATACACGGAATTCTTGCTCTTGAAATTCAATATTCAGGAATTTCGGAGGCATTTCAGAATGGACAAACAGTAAAATTTGGAGACACGAAAGTCCAGGTTGGGTGGAAGGGAAGAGATTGGAGGGGGAGGGAGGGAGAAACAATGAAAAAAAATGTATCAGCCAAAACATTAATAATATATCTATTTTTTATGATCTTCTTAGGCTTTTTGTGAAAAAAGAGATCAGAGAATTTAAAAGCAGAGGAACAGAAGTGGGAAAATGGAAAGAAGAGTTGAAAGTTTGAGTAAGATTTGGGAAATCAGCAATTTTTACAAAATTTCCTCCCGGGCATTTCCGGAGCTTATTCACGGGGTGAAATGCTCCCGGTTCAGACCGGATCGCCTGATCCGGTAGCGATGGAGGCGGGTGGTTCGGAGAACCAGTAGCAAAAATCCCTGCCCACCCCCTCTGCCCAGCTGAGCCGCACAATCATCAGAGGCTTTTTAAAAACTTTTTAAAGCATTTTTTCTACAACCTCTTCGGCCGAAAAAATGCTTTTAAAAGTATATATATATAAAAAAAGCCTCTGATGATCGTACGGCTCAGCTGGGATCGTCAAAGGCTTTTAAAAAAAAAAACCTTTTTTTCTTTTAAATGCCTCTGACGATCCCAGCTGAGTTGCCTGACCGGCAGAGACTTTTTAAAAAAGCCTCTGCCGATCAGGCAACTCAGCTGGGATCGTCAGAGCCTTTTGAAAGCATTTTTTTTACAACCTCTTCGCAGAAGAGGTTGTAGAAAAAATAGTTTTAAAAGTTAAAAAAAAAAATTGGCCACGCCCACCCAGTCACATTACCCCCCACCACCACCAAGCCACGCCCACAGTAACTAATTTTAGATTTCACCACTGAGCTGATTATTCTCTTTATCCCTTTCGTGTGTATACGGAGGAGAAAAACCCTGTGAATGGAGACACCGGCAACAATTTTCAAGATCTTTTTCCCCACCATAACAGACCAAAGTGGAGTGCAGAACAGTAATGGCAGCAGTGAGAGGCTCCACCCATCCACTCCACATGTGCAGAGCGAACCAGCGCAAACTGGTAGAAACCAACCACTGGTGCAGAACCTATGCTCCCCAACCCTTTCCTCTGAAAGAAACGGATGGGTCTTAGGGCTACATAAGAAGAGTAAGGAGACCGAATCAAACAAAGCAATGAATTGAGATTCTTCTACAGGCCGGAGGGGGAAGGGAGGGAGGGGTTTTAATATAGTCCACATCCGCGCAAATTATTGGCAATTATGACATCAGTTACAGCATCAAAGACAAACTGGATGTTGTTGGTGTCGGTGGCACAGGTGATGTGAGTGTATATCTCTTTGTTGGATGACTTATTCTTGCTCTCGTACTGCGTCTGGATGTAAGTCACCGCATCCGGGAAGTTGCTGGTTCCTGCAAGGGAGAGAAAGAACAGCCAAGTGAAAGTATGTTTTGAAGGGCTCCCCCCCACCCACCTCCCCAAGAAGAGACTGTCCATGTTGGCTCCCCTTGACAGGAGGGCCAACCAATCGAGAGGAAGAATGAAAGGTTTTGGAGAAGCGAGGTTTGAGTTTCCTCAATAGTATAGAATAGAGTAGAAGAGAATAAAATAGAAGAGAAGAGAAGAGAAGAGAAGAATGGAATAAGAATGGAGTAGAGTAGAGTAGAGTATAGAGTAGAGTAGAGTAGAGTAGAATAATAAAAGAAGAGAAGAGAAGAAAAGAGAAGAATGGAATAAGAATGGAGTAGAGTAGTGTAGAGTAGAGTAGAGTAGAATAGAATAGGAATAGGAATAGGAATCAGAATAGAATAGAATAGAATAGAATAGAATAGAATAGAATAGAATAGAATAATGGAATAAGAATGGAGTAGAGTAGAATAATAAAAGAAGAGAAGAGAAGAATGGAATAAGAATGGAGTGGAGTAGTGTAGAGTAGAGTAGAATAGAATAGGAATAGGAATCAGAATCAGAATCGAATCGAATCGAATCGAATCGAATCGAATAGAACAGAATAGAATAATCGAATTGAATCAAATTGAATCGAATCGAATAGAAGAATAAAATAGAATAGAATAGAATAGAAATAGGAATAGAATAGAATAGTGGAAGAAGAATGGAGTAGAGTAGTGTAGAGTAGAGTAGAATAGAATAGAATAGGAATAGGAATCAGAATTGAATCGAATAGAACAGAACAGAACAGAACAGAACAGAACAGGGACCTTGGGGGTCTTCTAGTCCAATCCCCTGCTTTGGCAGGAAACCCTATACCATTTCAGACAAATTGTTATCCAAAATGTTCCCAAAACACAAAGTTTTGGGTTCTGTAATGGTAAAGAATTCAAGGTATGTTTCCTGGGAATTCCCAAAACTGTATACAGGTAGTCCTCGACTTACAACAGTTTGTTTAGTGACCAAGAGCCGCAGTGATGCAGTGGTTAGAATGCAGTACTGCAGGCTACTTCTGCTGATCACCGGCTGCCAGCAGTTTGGCAGTTCAAATCTCACCAGGCTCAAGGTTGACTCAGCCTTCCATCCTTCCGAGGTGGGTCAAATGAGGACCCAGATTGTTGGGGGCAAATAAGCTGACTCTGTAAACCGCTTAGAGAGGGCTGTAAAAAGCACTGAAGTGGTATATAAGTCTAAGTGCTATTCGAAATTACAATGACATGGAGGAAAGTGACTTATGACCAGTTTTCACACTTATGGCTGTTGTAGCATCTCTATGACCATGGATCAAAATTCTTATTGATGACAGTTGCAGTGTCCCGGAGTCACGTGATCCCCTTTTGCGACCTGACAATCAACGTCAAAGGGGAAGCCAGATTCACTTAACAACCATGTTGCTAACTTCACAACTGCAGTGATTCACTTAAGAACCGCAGCCAGAAAGGTCGTAAAATGGCATCACTTAACAACTGCCTTGCATAGCAATGGAAGCTGTGGCTTCAATTGTGGCTGTAAGTTGAGCACTACCTGTATTTATTTATTTATTTATTTATTTATTTGTTTGTTTGTTTGTTTGTTTGTTTGTTTGTTTATTTGTATCCCATCTTTATTATTTTTGCAAATAACTTGAGGTGCAAACACACCCAACATTCCTTCCTCCTCCTATTTTTTCCCCCACAATAACAACCCTGTTAGATGGATTGCGGGGAGGGAAGAGAGAGAGAGAGAGGGAGGGAGGGAGGAGGAGAGAGAGGGAGGGAGAAAGAGAGAGAGAGAAAGAGAGAGAGGGAGGGAGAGAGAGAGAGAGAGAGAGGGAGGGAGGGGGGGAAAGAGAGGGAAGGAGAAAGAGAGACAGGTGGGAGGGAGGGAGGGGGAGAGAGAGTGAGGGAGAAAGAGAGAGAGAGAGGGAGGGAGGGAGGGGGAGAGAGGGGGGGGGAGAAAGAGAGAGAGAGAGAAAGAGAGAGAGGGAGGGAGAGAGAGAGAGGGAGGGAGGGGGGGGAAAGAGAGGGAAGGAGAAAGAGAGAGGGGGGAGGGAGGGAGGGGGAGAGTGGAGTGAGGGAGAAAGAGAGAGAGAGAGGGAGGGAGGGAGGGGGAGAGGGGGAGGGAGAAAGAGAGAGAGAGAAAGAGAGAGGGAGAGAGGGAGAGAGGGAGAGAGAGAGACTGGTCCCAGGTTACCCAGCTTAGCTTTTCATGGCTAAGGTGGGATTTGAACTCATGGTCTCCCAGTTTCTAGCCTGATGCCTTAACTGCTAGACCAAACTCTGTCTCTAAACATCATGTAAAGATGATGTTTTGGATCCTTTAATTCTAAAGAACTGAAAGGAAGTTTGTTTGAAATTCCCAAAATTATGTAATACTAGCCCAGTATATAGGTAAAGGTAAAGGTTCCCCTCGCACATATGTGTTAGTCGTTCCTGACTCTAGGGGGCGATGCTCATCTCCGTTTCAAAGCCGAAGAGCCAGCGCTGTCCGATAGATGTCTCTATGGTCATGTGGCCGGTATGACTCAACGCGAAAGGCGCACGGAACGCTGTTTCCTTCCCACCAAAGGTGGTCCCTGTTTTTCTACTTGCATTTTTTACGTGCTTTCGAACTGCTAGGTTGGCAGAAGCTGGGACAAGTCACGGGAGCTCACCCCATTACGCGGCAGTAGGGATTCGAACCACTGAACTGCCAACCTTTCAATCGACAAGCTCAGCGTCTTAGCCACTGAGCCACCGCGTCCCTTTCCCCACAGATACATTTGGGCTAATAACAACCTTGAGGTGAAGAGAAGGAGAGCTATTAACTTTTCCCATTTTCCAGACTCCTCATCTTAATCAACAAACCAAGTTGACTATGTCAACAAAGATGACAAGGGGCCTGAAGTGTACAATGAATGGTTAAGGCAACTAGGTATGTCCTGGCTAGGGATGACATGGTAGCAGTCTTCCAGTACTTGAAGGCATCCCAGAAAAGGTGTTGACCTCTTCTGTAAAACACCTGAGGGCAGGAGAAGACGAAAAGGGTGTCAATGAGAAAAGTCAGTCAGTGGCACGAACAGGTTGATTTCCAGAAGTTATGGGTGTTCCATCACTGGAGGTTAATAATAACAAGGAACGTTTTAGGGGTTTAGTTGTTTCTTCTTCTTCTTCTTCTTCTTCTTCTTCTTCTTCTTCTTCTTCTTCTTCTTCTTCTTCTTCTTCTTCTTCTTCATTCTTCTTCTTCTTCTTCTTTTCTTCCTCCTCCTCTCCTCCTCCATTCTCCTTTTCTCCTCTTTTCCTTCTCTCCTCCTCCATCACTCCTCCTCCTCTTCTTCTCCTGCTCCTCTCCTCTCCTCACTCCCCCCTCCTCCTTTGATGCCCTCCTCCTCCCTCTCCTGTCCTCCTCCCCTCCCCTCCCTCTTCTTCTTCTTCTTTCCTCTCCTCCTCCTCCTCCTCTCCTCTTCCTCCTCCTCCTCTCCTCCTCCTCCTCCTCTCTCCTCCTCCTCCTCCTCTTCTTCTTCTTCTTCTTCTTCTCTTCTTCTTCTCCTTCTCCTTTTCTTCGTCTTCTTCTTCTTCTTCTTCTTCCTCCTCCTCCTCCTCTCCCTCCTCCTCCTCCTCCTCCCCCCCTCCTCCTCCTCCTCCTTGCCTTCAACTCATTCTGAATAGAAAGTTCTGCCCAGAACTATAAAGAAAGAAACTGATGCAATTTCTTTAGTCCACTGTTGCTGGTGATGCTAGCAAAATGCTTAATAAATTTTCCTGTTCCGCAACCAAAGCATGGGGCCCAGGCTAGGATGAGGAAAAGAACATCTAATTTAGCTTATGCTTCTTTTGAGAGAAAGGTGTTCGGTAGCAACAACATCCATATTACGTACATGTTGGACTCACGCCAAGTTCCTCTTTGTAATCTGAACCTCTTCAAAACTATCTCCGAGTCTGTTATCTGAAGGTGATTTAATCAACTATAGGGCCATATTTAGATATTCCTAATGTTTCCCTGTTGTTGTTGTTGTTGTTAGTTGTGAAGTTGTGTCTGGCCCATCATGACCCCTGGACAACTTTCCTCCAGGCCTTCCTGTCCTCTACCATCCTCTGGAGTCCATTTAAGCTCATGCCGACAGCTTCAGTGACTCCATCCAGCCACCTCCTTCTCTGTTGTCCCCTTCTTCTTTTGCCCTCAATCGTTCCCAGCATTAGGCTCTTCTCCAGGGTGTCCTTCCTTCTCATTAGGTGGCCAAAGCATTTGTGAGTTTCATCTTCAGGATCTGGCCTTCGAAAGAGCAGTCAGGGTTGATTTCCGCTAGGACTGACCAGTTGGATCGCCTTGCAGTCCAAGGGACTCGCAGGAGTCTTCTCTGCCAATGTTTCCCTAACCCTTTCAAAAACAATTTTGATGCAACATCTGGTCTACTTGTGGACCATCGTTTGGGAATTTTTGCCTTAACAAAAGGCAAATGTTCTGAGTCACAAAATACTCTTCCTGTACTTATTTATTTATTTAAAAAATAAAAGGATGTGTTTTATTTACCTGTATAATCTGGAAAGCAGATAATTAAGGGGGATTTCTTAATCTTCTCTTCAAAGATGTCCTTCTTATTGAGGAAGAGGATAATGGAGGTATCTGTGAACCATTTATTGTTACAGATGCTATCAAACAGCTTCAGCGATTCATGCATGCGATTCTGTAACATAAAAGAGATAATGTGTCAGGCCGGGATGGTTACACAAAGCCATCTTCAACATGTAGGGAAGCATCTAAAATTAAGAAAGGAAAAAAACTCAAAAGGAAGCAGACAATGAGGGGTGCAACACAGCCCATATTTAAACACCAAAAATAATAATAATAATAATAAAAAATGTGTACATGGATGACAACTGGGTTTGCACAACACACTTAAAGACCATGTACAGAAGATTTAACTGGGGTCAGTTTCTTTTACGGCTTCGCCTGTTGAATTCACCAAATCCGTTTGATTGGGGTAAGAGTTTAATTCGTTGTGTGAACCCAGGAAGCGGGTCTACTCAACAACAGTTAAGTATGTTGCATGAAACGTAGCCAAAGGGACGCAGTGGGTATAAGAGGCGAGCTTCAGTTAGCAGCACCGAAGCGTGTGGTTTTGTTTTTCTTTTAATAAAGCTAAATATTTTGAATTATACAAATAAATAAATAATAAACAAACAAACAAACAAACAAACAAACAAACAAACAAACAAACAGGATTCCATCTCAGATAAATCACCATGCTCATGCATTTCGATGGCTGAGTGGAGGAATCGTTACTGCCCTTACAGGCCGGAGGGCAATTCATGCAGATTAGTTAGAACAGATCAGTAAAATGTTGACCGTAGGATCATTGATTGCGTGGGACAATACTTGACTGTAGACATTAACCAAGGATGGCTGGATGTCACCCTTGAATTAATCCAGAGTTGAAAGCAGTCTAAGAGGGAGAAGGCTCTTCAGGATAAGAATCTTGCTGTGTGATTTTTGGCCTTTTTGTTATTTCATTTCACATTGCTTAAGTTGGTTGGCTTAATATCGACATCCTTACGCTGACACTTTTTGGAAGGTGGAATTCTGCTCAAAACCATATCACAAAAGAAACCAAGGACGAAAGAAAAAGAAGAAGGGAAAGGGAAGGACAAGGAACTAGGAGGACCATAGCTAAGAATAATGTGAATATTTATAGTTTGATTAACTTTAGTTCATGCCTTAAGTGGGAAGATTAGATTAGATTTGTAATTTGGAGTTTTCCAATAACGCCCACAAGTTCAAATGCAAGAACGAGAGGAATGTGATTTTAGTTGGAACGCATGCATGAAATCACGATACGTGGATAAGGGATTATTAGCAAAATCAGAATCGATGCGTTAATTAAGTAGCGACAAGATACATGGCATACGGTGGGAGGTATATAGTTCACAGCAAAATCAGCCTGGGGGTGTCCTGTCCTTCAGCTGCTTTCAACTCTATGGTTTTTCTCAGTTCAAGAGAAGCTTCATACCTGCCAAATTGGGAGGATCTCTCTCAAAACCTCATTATTTTTTTGCCTTTTGTTCTGTTAGATAAGATCAGTCGGCCCAGGGAAAGTGATGGTGAAGAAGCCTGCTGGAGTTGGAAGCGAGAGGCCGAAGGTGGAAATGGAATAGCAGAAAGGAGCAGCCGTAACGGAGGTTGAAGCCAACCCGAGACAGTCATAGGGGTTATCGAGAAGCAAAGCGGATTATTAGACCAGAGAGGTGTCTTTGTTTTTGGTCTTGACGTGGCCACCACGTCAGGTGCCGTAGTTCCTGCTGAATGCGGCTGGTACAAATTGTAATTATCCAGACAAAGAGGATAGACATAAAAAAACAGAGAGATCTTTTCAAGGGATGGGAAGATCTGCTGAAGGTTCCTGAGGTAGCACCAACCCCTCACCCCTCTGCAAAAAAAACCCCACCCAACCAGGACTTTTCAACGCAAGCCATCAAAGCACAGATTTTCAACTGAAGTTCCAGTGAATGTGAGGTACCTTAGAAGCCCACTAGAGGCAGGGGTCGGCTGCTGGGGGTTCGGGAGAACCTCTAGCTAAAATTCTGTGCAGTTCGGAGAACCCTCTAATCCCACTCCTGGCTGGCCCCGCCCCTCCCAGGAGTCCCCATGCGGCCTGTTTTCAATGCAGGTAGGTGCAGGGGGTGCATGGAGGCTCAGGGAGGGTGAAAAACAGGCCTACCAGAAGTTCAGGAAGGCCAGAAACAGGCCCGTTTCTGGCCTCCAGAGGTCCTCCGGAGCCTGGGGAGGCCGTTTTTGCCCTCCCAGAGGCTCGAGGAAAGCCTCCGGAGCCCGGGGAGGGCAAAAACACACCCGCTCCCGCCATGGTGCAGGAGGCCAACTAGGCCACACACCCCCATGGCCATATTCACCCAGCAACCAGGTAGAGAATCCCTTGCTAAAATTTTTGAAGCCCACCCCTGACAAGAGGCTCATCAAAACGTGAAGGACCTTGAAGTGGGAGTGAAGAGGTGACAAATGGGGACATTTCCCCCCTACAAAAGAAAACAGGGGAAACTCATTGTCTGCTCCAAAGAGTCAATGGTGAGAACCAGAAGAATAGGTTAATGTGAATTAATGACGGGTTGTGAGAAATGTGTCAGAATCTTCAGTTAAACATAGGAATGACAGAAAGAGATTCTGGAGGTAGAACGTTAAAAAACAAACAAACCACTACTGAACAAAGCTATTCATTTGTTCCACTGAGGTGTTTTTTTTTTATAGCCACAAAGATAGCAGGCCAGGGTGAAGTTAATAAGCTCTCATCTACCACCACAATTCAAGATCCTTTTGAAAACTCCTGGATGACCATTTAGATCGTCAATGCATCATTCTTAGGCTGTCCCATGTCTGGGCAAATTGACCCTCCATTAATTAGTAAATATCATTATTTTCAGAGCAGGGGTCCAACTCAAAATTAACTTTTGGAGAACATTCTCATAGGACAAGAATAGCTTGAACTTCTTGTTTGCTTTTGACTAGCCTGGCATTTTCAGATGGGCAGAGCAGAGGGTTGGTGGACAAGAAGAGAAACCCTGCACATCATGACATCCTGACACAAACCACACCATCTGTGTCATTTGCATATTGATATCATCACCTGTTTGATGTCCTCGTGAATTCTTAAATATCTAAACTAACAGCATCCTACTCTACAACATATGGTTTTATAGACACACCAAACTGTATGAAAATAACATCTGTATGACTATCATTAAGTGTTGTACCTTATGATTCTTGATGAACGTATCTTTTCTTTTATGTACACTGAGAGCATATGCACCAAAGACAAATTCTTTGTGTGTCCAATCACACTTGGCCAATAAAAATTCTATTCTATTCTATTCTATTCTATTCTATTCTATTCTATTCTATTCTATTCTATTCTATTCTATTCTATTCTATTCTATTCTATTCCATTCCATTTCTATTCTACTCCACTCCACTCTACTCCACTCCAATATTCTATTCTATTCTATTCTATTCTATTCTATTCTATTCTATTCTATTCTATTCTATTCTACTACTCTATTCTATATTCTACTCTACACTCTATTCTCTTCTCTTTTCTCTTCTCTTCTACTCTACTCTACTCTATTCTATTCTACTACTCTATTCTATATTCTACTCTACATTCTATTCTATTCTATTCTATTCTATTCTATTCTATTCTATTCTATTCTATTCTACTCTCTTCTCTTCTACTCTACTCTACTCCTCTATTCTATTCTATTCTGTTCTGTTCTGTTCTGTTCTGTTCTGTTCTGTTCTGTTCTGTTCTATTCTATTCTATTCTATTCTATTCTATTCTATTCTATTCTATTCTATTCTATCTGTAAACATATTTGGAGGACATCCATCTAGAGGAGTGCTTCCCAACCTCAGAAGCTTTAAAATGGGTAGATGCAAGGAACCAAAACGACATGAGGAGTTACTCAGAGTAGTTTCTTTATTGTTGCTCACCTCTAGACAGGAATCTTGCCAGACTAAAGCACAAATCTACATATTTATTAACTATACCCTGTTAAAGTTTAGGGAGAGTCCAGCCTGGCTCTCTTCCTGTACAACAAGAATTTCAGGTTAATCTGCCTTCCTTGGGAAAGACCCCCTTGCTCCTGTGGCTTTTCAATCACACTCCACCAAAACAATCCAACTCTAAAAAAGTTTGATTCCCACTTCTTTGTAAAGAAACAAAATCTGTTTATCCCATACAAGTGGTTGCTCTGTCTGTCTGTGTCAACTTGCAAAGCATCCCTGGCCTGCTCTTGAGTTGCCATAGGCAAGGGGGATGAGAAACCGATGAAGCAGCACAGCAGCCAAAAAGAGGAGTACATTCCAGACATATCTTTCACAAGGCTGTCTCCCAGAGTCACCCACAGCAGCCAGAGGAGAATGATCTCTACAACCCACGAAATTGCTCCGTTGGCGAATGTGATTGATGACACACCCTGGGGGGAGGGGGGAAAACAGGGTCATGATTAGGGCCATAAATTACATGGAGTCAGAGCTGGCTTCATTTGGGAACGTGCCGACATGACGGCCCTACAGTAATAAATAACTGGATTTCTTTTGAAGCTTGGCTTGAGGCTCATGATTTAATTAAGGCATCCGTCAGAACCTTGACAGCCTGTCTGTCTGTCAGTCTCTCTGTCTGCTAGTCTATCACTCTAGCTGCCAGTCTAGCTATCTCTCTTCAACCCATTGGTTTAATTTAGGAGTCAGTTGCTTTTTCTAGGAAAAAGAAGATAGGGTGGAATACCTTACTCCAAGATTTTCATTTTCTCATAGATGAACTATTTGATTCAATGTTTTGCCTGAACCTGAGAACCGATTAAGGCTATTCCGTTGCTGCCTTTGGATATTTTCTACAGCTGGTCGATTTGGGATGTGAGGATATAAGAACTTACCAGTTAGATCCACACGGATCATAAGGACTTCCTCTGAGTCAATCTTGAAGGTCATATTGAATATATTGTATGAAAATATTTACTAAAAGACCAAGGGACTTAAAAAAACAACAACAAAGCTTTCTGGTCTACTCTTACAGCCCTGGGATTCTCTGATTGCTTTCCATCCAAGAATCAAGAAACAATTAGGTTCAGCTCACTTGAGTTTCTGATCCCATAAATATAACTGTCCCCGAAACGAAAA